CAATAAATGGATAGCGGTCACGAGTCAGCTGTATCCAAACTGTTCCACTCAGTCCCCGCCCTTCTCGAACACCCTGGTCCATACCATGTCTAGTCTGCGTTTGAAGTCTGGTGTCGAGTAGGCAGCGATGACTTCATCCGGCAGTCTATTCCAATCATTCACAACTCTCGTTGCGAACGAGGACGCTCTAAGCCGAGTCCTCACTCTATCTTTAACCAGTTTCAGTGTGTGCCCTCTCAGGTTTGTTGTTTCACTGAGCTTGAGCAGCGCTCCATCCGGTACATTCATAAATCCCCTCAGGATCTTGTACGCTTCGATAAAGTCTCCGCGTCGCCTATGCTTGCTGAATGAGAAAACCTTTAAGGCTTCGAGACGCCTCTCGTAGGATAGATGTCTTAAACCTGCAATTCATTTGGTGAAGCGACGCTGCACTGTTTCTAGCGTTTTCATGTCCTGGATCAGAAACAGGCTCTAAGCCTGGACGCAGTATTCGAGGTGCGGACGCACATGTGCCTTGTAAAGAGGGAGCAAGACTTCGGGTCTCCGAGAGCTTACCGCACGTCTTAGTTGGTGCAAGGCTCTGGATGCCCGGTTTGCTGCCTCTCGGCACTGGAGTCCAGCCTTGAAGTTCGCACTAACAAGGACACCCAGGTCACTGGCTATGGTTATGGGTATCTGTTGGGACTGGTCCGGATGTCCCAGTGTCCTGCTACCTTTCGTGCCTCCAGTTTTGACTAGCTGTTGAGACTTCAGGGTATTCAGAAGCAGATCCCATTTAACTGACCACGTATGTATTTTGTCAAGATCTCTATGAACCGGCTCTTTCGTGGACTCCCCAACGACTTTAACATCGTCTACAAACTTGTAGCAGCGGTTTTCTAGGTTGTTGCTGAGGTCGTTGATGGGAAGCAGAGAAAGCAGCTGGGTGCATAAAGCAAATACTTGACTGACCTAGGACAGAGCCCTGTGGCACTCCACTAAGCACTCGTCCCTGGCTTGATGTGCAATTTTCTACCCTCACAACAAACCTTCGGCCTGTTAAGCAGCTGCGCATCCATTCTAGCAGTCCCGGAGGCAGCCCGAAAGCCTTCAACTCCATCATCAGTAGCCTATGATTAACGGAGTCGAACGCTTTCTGGAAGTCTAAGTAGCAGACCTCAACTTCCTCTACCCTGTCAATCCTCTTAGTTACTTCATCAAGCCAATCGAGCATCCAGAATTCCTTCGTTGTTATGCTCAAAACGTGGGCAACCAGCTCTGCTGAAATAAGAATGAGAAATGGGGTCTCATCTCACCAAGTTGGCGAGTGAATTGTTAGACGTGAGCATTCCATGACGTGCACCAGTGATAAGGGAAATGGCATCCTAGATATTTGGCTCGCCTACACTCACCTACACTGTCAGAGATGGGAATAGTTCCACCCATCGCTTATCGAGTGCAGTCTTAAAGGCTTGCACTGTTTGGAGGTCGACTATTTCCTTGGGAAGCCGGTTCCAACTGTCGACTATCCTAATGCTGAAAAGTTGTTTCCGTATGTTTAGTGGACATCTATGCTTCATGAGCTTGAGCTCATGACCCCTGGTGCCGTGTTGAGGAGCTAATGTGAAAAGACTGTCCGCTCCTATCCCCGATATTCCCTTCATGATTTTGAAGGTTTCTATCAGGTCCCCTCGCAGTCTCCTTCTTTCTAATGAGAAAAGCCCTAGA